GAACTTCTTGTCAAGCATCCTTGTAGAGCCATGCCAGTAGAGTTGACTTCTTCAACAGAAGTATTGTTATTTTGATGTTTTTCACCACTGATCCAATATCTGGTCCACTTCTTTATACCAAGAGTGTTTAGAAATATTTTCTGGCACACCTGGGGTTTCATCCCATCAGGAACAAGATGGTACTTTAAGGTACTGTTTCGCCTTTGTTTTTGTCTTCCATCTGACTTTTGTCCGTCATTCTCATTTCCTTCATCTTCATTGGTTTCTTCTTCTTCTTTGTTTACTTTAGTTCTCCTTTTTACTGTAGATTTGTCTACCATATTTGCTAGATACACCTTTCTCTGGTCCCAGTTCATGCTGATGGAAAAATTATCCAATCTTCACTCTTTGCTCTTCATCAATACTCTGACAGAATCAAACTTTGTATTTTTTTGCATAATTTAGATGAGCAAGGTCCTTCCTTCTTTAGGGGTATCATGGAACATTCTTCCATTTTTATCTCTCCAATATTAACTCCTATATCTCCTATATCCTATATTAACTGAAACCGATCACTGAAAGGGAGGTGGAAAAAATTATCCAATCTTTAAAAAATAAACACTCCAGTGGGCATGACGAAATTCCTGTAACAATAATAAAGGCTGCAAAAACCTACATCAGCAAAATTGTTTGTCATCTGATCAATTCTTCGTTTGTTTCAGGCATTTTGTCCTAACATATTAAAGCAGGCAAAAATAATTCCTTTACACAAAAAAAATGACCCTGAAAATATATCCAATTATCGCCCAGTGTCTGTTCTTCCTTCAATTTCTAAAGTGTATGAAAAAGCCATATACTTACAATTATCAGAGTTCTTGAAAAAATTTAATATTTTTTATGATAATCAGCATGGATTCCGGAATGGAAGATCAGTTGTGAGTGCAGCTGTTTCTTTTATCGAATCAGTCATCGAATCAGTAGACAAAGGACATTATACAATTGGCATATTTATGGACCTTTCTAAAGCGTTTGATAGTGTAAAACATAGTAAATTACTAGAAAAACTTAAAATAATTGGAATATCAAAAAGAGCTCTTATTTGGTTTTCTTCCTATTTGACAAATAGATCTCAATTTGTGGAAATTACCCATTTGACAAATCATAATAGAATTATCAAATCATCATCAACTTATCAACCAATTAAATTTGGGGTGCCACAAGGTTCAATTTTGGGGCCTTTGCTTTTTTTGTGTTACCTTAAGGGCATGGAAGATACTTTAACTTACAAGCAAAATTCTAAATTATGTCTTTACGCTGATGATTCTAATTTGATTATATCATCTAACTCTCCAGAAGAAGCTGAAATTCTTACATATGTAGAATTAGAGAATATTGGGAACTATTTCTACAATCATAACTTATTATTAAATTCACAAAAAACTAAATTTATAAATTTCAGAACAGCACAGAACAGAATTACAAAAGAGCCAACAATAACTTACAACTCAAATAACATTCAAAAGGAACATCAAATCAATTTTCTGGAACAACAACAACAGACAACAACAATAGATGAAAATTTGAATTGGGATAGACACACACAGAAAGTTTTAACCAAAACTAACTCTGGAATGTTCGCATTATCAAAAATGTCCTTTTATTGTAATTTGTAAACCCTAAAAAGTATACATTTTGCACACATTCACTCCCATATTTCATTCGGTTTAGCATTATATGGGTCAACAAAAATATTAAATATGGATAGTATTCTGAAGCGACAAAAAGAAGCTATCAGAATTATGCTTAATCTTAAATGAGATGACTCAGCAAAAGAACATTTTAAGAAATTACAAATTTTTACAGTTCATGGGCAATATATTTATGAAACAATTCTTATTGCAAAAAAAATGAATCTGAGCAAGTAATAAATTCAGTTCATTCTTATAATTTTAGGAGGAGAAGGGAGTCTGTCCAGCCTCACAAATTAAAAATTTTTGAAAAAAACCCTCATATGCTGGTAATGATTTTCTAAAATTTGTCCCTGAATTCATAAAAAAAGAAACGAACCTATCTAAATTCAAGAAAATTCTAAAGGAGCATTTAATAAATCTAGCATTATATTCTTTTGATGAATTGTCCACCTCCCATAAATAGAAATAGTATTTTTATATTAAGTATTCTGACACTATTCACTGTACCACCAATGTACATGATTTACGAATAAAGATGTTTGAATATGAATATGAATATAACCCAAATACTTCCTACCCCCTCCATTCTCACTTTTTTACTGACATTTTTCTACCAGGAACTTGAGTTATATTTTTTCCTTTTATTTTCAGGCAAAACTATCTAAAACAAGCAAAATCAAGCAAAACTAATGTTGTTCATTAGTCTTGTTTGAAGTAGTAACTAAATTGAGGTGAATACTTCATTTAATGTGGATTGTGGTGTTACTGAACGAGAAAGTTTGCCAACTTATAAAATACTAATAAGGCCTTCAGTCACTCCTGGAATTGTGAAACAAACCTATGAGTAAGCAAAGTTTCCTCAAACTCAATCACTGTCTGAATATAAACTGCTGACCACTCGCTCCAGATCTGTTCTGCAAATGTCAAAATATTTTTCTGCATACATTGTCAACTAGCATCGGTAGTAAACTGGAATTAGTTCTCTTCCTGGAGAAACCTAATCACAGATAATGATTACTAGTTGGGAACCGGAGGCCACTTCTTCACATGTACAGAAACCTTATAATGACGTCACATGACTATCGACTACTTTTCAGCTATCGGAATCGTGATGGTTTATGCAATCGATTATCGAAGGCCGAAGGGACACGGCTTTACATCGTCACTTATTCACTTTGCTGTGCCCGGTGACCATGTTAATAGACTAGTTCTTTTCAGAAAATATCACAAATAATAAAGAGGAAAATATCAGACTCTGAAGAATTTGGTGATGCAACCCTTTGTATAACTAATTGCAACTAGTAATAGTAAATCAAATATATAAATTAATACACTCGATATTTTAATTCAAGATTTCTTTTTTTTAAGATTCTTAAACTTGCATTGGTTGATATTTTATAATCGACGTTTCCCCAGATCGTAAAAAGATTTAATAATTTTAAGTATCTAATTAGTTAAATCTAAATTACGTTTAGTATTTTATAATATTTGTAAGTTAATGTATAAAAAAGCATTAATTGAGTTAGTTTAGGTAACGTTATAGTGTATTGTTATGCTTTTGTTCAGTTATCTACAATTGAACATTTTTATCCTGATAAATTTAAATATTTAGACCCTATTATATAAAATTAATTCAAATTTCAATTGTTTTTTCCAATTTTCAAAACTCAAACTTTAAAAACATTTTTAAATTGAACTGATCAATTTATGCACTCTAATCTAATCAAGGTTTATTTCCACCAAAATACAAAAATAACAAATAATGCAAGAAAGCAATTATATATGAAGCATAATATACATATATATATAAAAGTAATTGAGTAATGTTACAAGTGAAAGGAATTATGGTATATAACTAAAATGAGAAAAATTTGATTTATTACATTGAATTCATGTTTAACATAATTAATAAAATAAAATTAAAATGGTTCCTTAACGTAAAAATAAATTTGATGGGAAACGAGACTATATGGGCACTAGTGGCCTGTGCGTAGGCTCGAGTTGAATAATATAGAATGTGGTACGATCAAAAAGTAATAAACTATCCTACAAATTAATCGGATTACTACTACTTAATGTTTCTTTATTTATATTATGTCCCAGTACTTTCATTTATAAATAACAAGATAAGGCTTAGTAAGTATAACGTTATTGTGAATTAAATGGAGCCAGAATAATATAATTGGGTAAAACTTATGGTGTTTTATTAAGATGTACCAAAGGGGAAAATGAGAAAAAAGCTCTACTTTTTTCTGTAAACCTAAACCATTGACCATTGACCTATTTTACGTGACTGTAAATTCCATAAAATAATATATCTAAAACAGTCCTCTTGGGCTTCTTAAATTGTCACCTTACACTGATGGGCAATATCTGTTAGTAAATCATTCCCAAACATTAACATGTCAAAGTTACAATTATTATTTCACTCTCTTCTAGAATCGATAATAATTCCTGTAATTCGTCTACTTTAATTACAGTTATTGTATTATTGTGGATGCTATGAAATAAATTCTTAGTATTCAACGTCCTGTGAACTCAAGTTTTTTATTTTATAAGTCAGGTAAATACGAAAACAATTGCAAACATTTTGGATGTTCAATCCAAAGTATCAGTAATTATTTTATTCCCAGCCTGTAACGAATATTATTGTATTTCTACTATTTGATTTATAATGGATAAACTACCGAGAGTATTCAATTCGTCAAATAAAGTGTTACAAAAAAAAACCCTTTACTTATTCGGTGCAACCGATACTTACATTCCGAAGAAAAACCCGTAACCACCCGGTACAATCGATATATACATTCGATATTTATGACGTCAGTATAAGGTTTCTGTACATGTGAACTTGTGCTCTCCTTGGGAACCGGCTCAGCGGCTAGAATATAGTAGTGGATGAAGTAAGAACCAGTTTATTGGTCTCGGTTTTGAAGTGCGATGGTAGCTCAACATTTATTCATTTGTTCATTTATTCATGTAAATTGTCACAAATTACACCATATACAGAGGAGTTTCCTCAATGGTAGATGACATGTCAAAAATATGATACAAAAATGTTAAAAACTAAATTAAAATGTAACTTAAACATAATGAGAAAACAAACTCTCCACATGAACCATTTTACAAACCACTATTACAATATAAAATGAAATCCTCTACTGAATAAAACATATGGCTCTTTAGATAGTTGAACAAGTTTTCTTTTAAATGCTTTGGCAGAAGATTCATTGTGAATATGACAGAGACCTTAATTTACGGAGAACCCTCGTATTTAAAGTAAAATTCTAGCAACTTAGCAGTACTTTACTTACTTATACTTACTTTCAGGGTTATGAAACTCGACTGGGAAGTAGAGGAGCCCAACTCTCTGGTGGCCAGAAGCAAAGGATAGCGATCGCTCGATCTTTGGTTCGCAACCCACAAATATTAATTTTAGATGAGGCAACATCTGCTCTGGATTCGCAGAGCGAAAAGGTAAATTGTAGTACACTACGTAAAACATCTGTAAATAGTTATAAAATGTGTAGATGGTGGAAATAATTTTTATTGAAACTAGACCTTCTTAATGTGCTCCTTACACAAATTTATCATAGTTTTCAAAACAATATTCCATTGTAAAAGTTTTGCATTACTAAAATATATATTTTTTAAGTTAAATCTAAATTAAAACGCTGGAATATTATACATATAATCAAATAAATATGTACTCTGTTTCAGATGGTACAAGAGGCACTAGATGAAGCGTCGTCGGGTCGCACATGCATCATCATCGCACACAGATTGAGCACGGTGACCAATGCTGATGTGATCTGTGTGCTGAGTCGAGGAGCCGTGGTTGAGATGGGCTCACATGCCCAGCTCATGGCCAATGGCGGCCATTACGCTCGCCAGCTGCTTTCGCAACAGTAACGGGGCTGTGATAAGACTAGATTAGTGATATTTAGATCAAAGTTCCTCTAGGGATTAACGTAAGAAGCTAATGTTTATACATACAAACATCAATTTACATTAAATCATGATCTCAACATGAGAACAATACCAAATAGTATAGGAAGAATATTAACTTTACAGTCTGCATGAAACGTTTAAAAATCTTGTGCCTGCCTTAATGGGATTCAAGAAAACCTTTTGTCAAACATCTAATTTATAGAGTAGGTATTTATTTTACAATTTGATTTAATCAAATTGTCTTGTTTTAGAAATCATCTTGTATTCAAGTTGTAATTATAATCTTATGAGCTTGACGCTTTCCATTCTCCTTAGCAATGCTTATATACTGTTTTGTTTGTATAGCCAGAACAATATACAAAAATTAATTATCGACAAAGGGTCCACTTTATAATTTTTTTAAATGAATATGTTTGGAAGTTAAAAAATCAACTTTTGAAGACATTAGATTCAACATATTAGAAGTATTGCTTTATCCATCCATAATCTATGACTGGAATTAATTTTACTTACTTTTTTTGTTACTTTCTGTTGTTTTTAGCTGATATATGCCTATATTTCATTCATGAACAAAGTGCCTATTTCGCTGATCACAATGATTAGTATAAAGTACAATGTCTCACTTGTATTGACAAATAGAAATATTTTTATATTACTCTATATAAGTTTACTTTTTGTATATCATTTAGCTTTTAGGGAAACAAACTAATGTTATCAATGTATATATTAAAAGTTTTTTGAACCATTCAACCTGTATTTCAAATTTTTTCCTATTTATATACAACTGAACATTTGACGGTTAGGTCAAGTATAACACGATTGCTTTTAAGTTGTTTAAGCAAGTATGTTTTTATATGGTGTACTTTTTTACAAGTCACTGACAATTAATGATGGTAGTCTTTTTGTTTCTTATGGTAGAGGTTATAGTGTAGCTGCCCTGCTCATGCAGGAATTGTCCTTGTTAAAATCCTACACAGCTTAGTACGTTAGAAGCTCTGTAGTTAAATTTTAATTGCGCTCCTAAATTGTGTTTAAACAAATTTTTCCTTGCCTTCTTGGATATGCAAAATTGGTATCCCCAACCATTTAGGCCTGCTTTTAAGCAACCCAGATAGCAGAGGAAGATTTTAGGAAGTCCTTCAACAAATTTCAGAGGCAATCTAACATGTTTGCAACAAGCTTGTAACAAGTTTGTTGAAAGCATAAAAGTTATCAGACTTCCTATCTATATCTATATCAGACTTCCTATCTATATCTATATCAGACTTCCTGACAAGTTTCACTGGATGTTTGAGGCAAGTCTGCAAGGAATATGTGCCAAAAACGTGCAGGGAATGGTTGCAGATGACTTGCGAAGACAACCTGTTGCAAACATGCACTGAATGCCTTTCTCAAGTTTGCAAAGAATGCTTGTTAAAAATTCTGCAGGTAATATTTGAAGATGGCTTGCGAAGAGTACTTGTTGCAAATATGCCCTGAATGTCTTTATTAGCTAAAATGCTCGTCAAATATTTACAGGGAATCCTTACAGATGACTTGTGAAGACAATTTACCACAAATATGCACTGAATTTTGAATATAAAGATTAAAAGAATGCTTGTTTAATAATGACAGGAAATCTTTATAACTGATTTGCCAACTGCTACCAATGTGCACTAAATATCATTATTGAATTTTATCAAATAATGTTACTACTTGTGATTTTATATCTTCCAACTTATTACATGATATCGGTGGTTAAATTTAATCAATTGTAATTATTTTTCTAAAAATGTGATAAATAAACAATTTAGTTTTAAAAATTTATTGACCAGTAACTTATTAATTATTCCTTATTTTATTATTTTATGACAAAACATAAATTTTACAGAGAAAAAAAAATTTTAAGGCAATAGAAAATATTAAATTGAGAAATACTTTGTGTACACTATGTATTACTATGCACCATGTCCATATGACCAAACTTTCGGAAAACGCAAAACGAAGTTTTATTTTAGCTACATCTTTTATGCATAATTTTTAGATAGAAAACTTGTATATAAAATGACAACCCTGTTCATGTATTTTTTGTTTTTAGTTGCTTTCAATCAGATATTTGCATGCTAAATACAAAAGAATATTTAAGAAGGTGATGGACATGAAACACCTGAGCACTAAAGATTACTGTACTTGAGGATATGATACATCTAAGCACAAACAGATTTCTCGTTAACTCCTTAGCTGCCTTAATAAATGTGCTAAGTCCTGTAAATAAGACAACTGGCAGCTTATAACCTAGTTAATGGGGGTTTTTAGAAAAAATAAAACTAAAAATATATTAAATTTACAATGAATTGAGTTAAATAGGGAAATTGTATGCTAAATACTTGGACCTAATTATTTTAGATAAATATACCCTTATTAATAACTAACAATACATAGATATTGAGCTGTCAATAAACATTGCTTGAAAATTATACAAGCTAAAAATGAATAAAATTATCAAGGGTTAAAGTTTTTGATGTAAGTAACTTTTGCCATAGGCAAAAAATTGGAAAACATTTTTAATAACCTCAGAACAAGCATGGTAAATTATCATTAACATTCAGAAAATATAGGGTTCAATGTAAAACACAGTGAGAATCACAAACTTAATTTACTTAGATAAAAAAAATCATTGTACAAAGTATTACAGGCTCATTGAGGTGTGATTGTCCATACTTCAGACTCCTCCTTTTCGGGGGTTTTTGGGCTGGGATTTTTTCACCTTCTTATCTTCTTCACTTATGGCTCTTCCTTTATTTGTTTGGTGAGTATGAATTGGAATCTCCGCTTCATTTTCATCCTCTTCTCCATAAGGAGCCAAGTCTTTGCCTTTTTTGTAAAACGGGGAGGTTTTGGATGAACTGGTTGTACACCTCTGGGATTAATCCAGTCTTCAAAAGGCTTAGTAAAGCCTTCTTTTTGGCCTTAGAAATGGTAATTTGTTCGGAATAGTTCTTGCTCAATTCAATTGAGTCTCAAGCTAGAGACTTATTGGCATTCATTCTCACCTCTAACTCTTTGGAGTTCAACATCTTCTAGGAGTTCGTACTTATTGAACAATAAATAGTTTCGACTTTTCATACCTTAGCCACTTGATTTTCATCCATGATGTTTCGCCATTTTTGTTTAATGTCCACTTGTGCATTACAGCTTTGCCTAGTTTAGTGAGATCATAGACGTCATCGTAGTTTTGAATGTTTACTTCATAAGGTTTAGGTTTTTTTCTTGCCATCTGAATCAGCAATCCCCATTCTTCTGTCGTATGAATTTGTTTGTGCTTCCACACTCTCTCGATGGTTGAGTGAATGAAATCAGCCTCCAGATAAGTATGCCCAGGCTCCATGTACTTCACGTCCACAATGAGGAATGTGGAGTTTTACAGAACAACATTATGGGATAGGAAAGAAATTTTGCTGTAAATTTGAGTCCAGATTACAGATAAAGTTATTGACTGAATAAATTGTCGAGTTATAGGTAGTCAATTTTGTGGGATTCTACTGTAGTTTCTTTTTAATCATACAAATCTTCTCAGAATTAAATGGGGACAACAGATTTTTACTCAACATTTCAAACAATAAAATTGATTTTAAAATATTTATGTTGCCCTAATGATGTTAGCAGTAATGGAGAAACTTAACTTACAATTTTGGTCTGTAGAGCTTTGTTCATCTTTAAATCTACATCCAATTTCTCAAAATCTTTGACTGTTGTCAGAGGAATCATTTGGAGGATGTAATTTAGTTCTTCATCGGGTTCAGCAACAATCATTGAGCCTTGCGCTACTGCCTCTTTTATTTCTTGTACCATTGTAGACAACCCTACCACTGAAGATTGGAGAATTACAATGGAATTCCAGATGTCTTCATCTGCAACAAAATAAGTCTGGGTATAGTCCAACTGATACTACCGAATGCAGGACCGAGCGCTAGTTGCCTAAAAACTTTTACGAAGGTCATTTTACAGCTTGGGGCTTAACGGTGCGAGTGCTAGCCAGGTATCAGTGGCCGGTTCCATGGTGTGTCGGGTATGGAAGTGGAGAGATCGACCAAGGATAAGCTAAACTTGTTTGAGGGATAAAATGAAACTGTTATAACCTAACCTAACCCTACTTGTTGATTATAACAAATTGAACAAAGGTTTACTAACCTAATCGATTAGGGTAGCCCAGTGAAGAAACTGTACCCGGTTTCGTTACATACTGCCCACTACACTAATACACTAATCCCTTCCACTAATACCCCTCCGCTGAATCACTCTTACGCTCTGGGGAGTCAAACGGCACTTTGGCCTACCTACTTCGACTAAAAAAAAAGGTTTTGACAGTTTATGACCCCCACGGTAAAAAATAGAATGGCACTCGCTGGGCTTCCCAATACTACCTGTCTCTTAATAATTAGTAAAAACCTTGGCTCAGTAAATCCTACATGATCGTAATTAAAGTTATGTAAGTTAAGTGGCAGTGTATACAGAGAAAAAATAATTACAACCTATTCATTTTGACGAAACTAAAAAATAAACATGAGCTACATTACTACTAATTTTAGATTAGAACTTCAACGGGATGTCATAGACAAAAATCCTGTCCAACTTTTCCCGGCCTACCCGTGGCGGAACTGGATACGCTGCAATTTCTGGTTAACTGACAGGGAAACAAACAAACATTAATCAAACATTAACAAACTCTGGATACTGCTCTACAGCTGAGAGACTGGCTTGATTTTCGTAAGCTAGGGACTTCTTGCGATGGTTGTGGTCCTTGATTTTTGTTGGAAGGTTTAGGAAGGTTTGTGTTATAGCTACTGCGTTGTTGGGGATATTATTTGTGTGTTGGTGTTGTTGTTATGAGCTGATGTGATTGTAACAGGAGTGCAATTGTGTTGGTTTTATGAAGGTGATCCATTTAATGTGTTGTTGTGTGTTGATCGTTAAAATGAGTCAGCTCTGTTAAATGTAAAATTGTGAGTTGGTTTGATAGGAGCCAAGGTGTAATTGGTTGTGTATTTGTGAGTTGAGGTAAAAGCAGGAATGTAATTAGGTTGGTGTGAGGCAGTAGGTTTTGAATCTCATCAGTCTGAAGTTCTCTGATATTATGTTCGTAACTTTTATTTTACTAATAAACTTTGTAACAAGCGGCAATTCATATAGAAATACTAATGATCATTAATTTAATAACCATCTATACTCACGTAAAAAAACTATTTAGTTTTGCGTGTTATGTTTTTTTTTTTCAATGTATGTGGATTATGACCATCTTCGGAAAAAGTATTCCATCCTTGTACTGTATGATGATAACTCCAAAATGCACCGAAAATATTTGCCATCTCAACTAGGGTTAGCAGCTAGACAGGAATCTTAACTTTTTGTATCTCGATTATCAGAGGACTGTCCATCTCGAAAATCAAAATAACTAATTGGCAGCTACGTGAACTTTTTTCAAGCCTCCTTAAAGACAAGGTGGAGGTGCGGAACATTCTATCAATGATGTTTACCATTACGTAGTTCGCCGATTGTCCGCGTCGCAGCGCTAGTGGGGCGTCGCGGCGTTTATACGCTCAGTCATGTGCCGTCCGGCGCCGTGAACGTTCGGTTGTGTTCGTGTGTTGGTATAACTGATTTACAACATCTGAGCGCCGCGTGTCGGTGAGTGAAATATCTAATTATATATACGTACTAATGTGTAATTTAGTGTTTTTATTAAGTTATTTTATTTTAAATTT